GGCATCCATCCACAGATGAATGGGTAAAGAAAATGTAGTATATATATACACAATGGACTACTACTCAGCCATGAAAAAGAATGAAATCTTGTCATTTGCTGCAACATGGATGAGCCTGGAAGACATGTTAAATGAAATTTGTCAGGCACAGAAAGATAAATACCACATGTTGTCACTCATATGTGGGAGCTAAAAAAAAAAAAAAAGTTGAACTTTTAGAAGCAGAAAGTTTTGTTTTTACTAGTGGCTGGGAAGATGAGGGGGAGGGGAGAATAGGGAGAGGTTGGTTAGTGGACACAAAATTACAGCTAGTTAGGAAGAATAAGTTCTAGTGGCATACAGTAGTGCTAGGCATCTATAATGAGCAATAATTTATTGTATGTTATTTAATGGCTAGAAGAGAGGAGTTCAAATGTTCTCATCACAAAGAAATGATAAAGTTTTTTGATGATGAATATGCTAATTACCCTGATTTGATCATCACACATTGTATATGTGTACTGAAATGTAACTCTGTACCCCATAAATATATACAGTCAATATGTTTCAATTTTTTAAAGATGCACAGACAAAAAGCACTGTCCTTCAGGCTTTTAAAGCAGCTATAGGCAGAATCAATATTTCTTCTATCAAGTCAGCTTTATTGAATTTGCCCAGACAACTGGGTCCTAAGAGGTGTGAACAGTCCAGTTAGAAACCTCCCTTGGTATAAATGAATGGATGAAAATATGAGCCCTAGGAAATCCACTGAAGCCCCTGGAAGTGTTTTTGAAAGCAACGATATTATCTACGCTAATTCAAAGAAATGAATTGTGATTTTAAGTACTCAAAAAGACTGTGGAGGATGAAACTTTTTTTTTTTTTTAATTTTAACCTACTTTGCAATAATGATGGAGCATTGATCAGAACTGAATCATTCTCATAGATTCCTTTTGGGTATATGGCCTATTTCTAGAGTTGATGGAGAATGTGATATTTATGTTGTTAGGTATAGATTGACACATTTGTTTCTCAAGGGAATTGATAAGGTTATAAAAAAAATGGCTGGCAGATATTTTCAGACTCTATATCATAGAATGTCTAAACTTAAATAGTTTCTGGAGTCTTAAAAATCTCAGTTTTAACTGTTTGTTAAGGTGTGATCAGACTGTGGAGAACTAGTTCCTTGTCATCTAAATTTTGGAAGTCTGGTTGACAAACAAGAATATTATTTAATATGATCAATAAATTAATACATGAATACAGCCATTTAAATCTGATATTTCATATCAGTTAGTGTGACTAGTTACAAGTTCAGATGATAGATGTGTCCATTTACCCAGGGGTAGGAAGGATGAAGCCTGGATGAATGGCTTTTCTTTCTCATCAGAGAGTATTTCTGGCAGATACTGATATTGTTTATTAGCGCAAAAGATGCTTACCTGGACGTACAATGATAAATTAAATTTTTTTACATTAATTTCTTTTAATTGTTCCTTTTTACTCATACAGAAGAGAAAAATCAGACATTAAAGAAACCTTGGGCAGTCAGGGATTAATCTTTATTTCTTCTTATTTTTTAAAACTGGTATCTTTTTAACATTTGTTTTGCTCTTGACAGTAGTTGAACAAAGATTTTGAAATTCTCATCAATTTTTGTTGTTGCTTTTAGATGATTTTAGATTCAGGATTTAGGATCTTAGAACTGTAGCATTTTATTCTATCATTTATGTATTGTTTAAGTCCAGTACTTACCAATGTTTTGACTACAGAACAAACTGAATATTGTTAAGCAGAATAATGAAAAAATTTATTATATCTGCTGGTTTACTTACAGGATATTTCTGAATTGTGGAATCACTAATCTTAAAACTGACAATTCCGTTTGAGAAGTGACTATCAAGAGATTATATACAATTTGGGAGTTTCTCAGGAGGCTCTAATAAATAGTCCCTCCTTTTCTACTTTGCTTTTGAACCAATTTGGAAGTAAGAGTGGCAGATGTAGGCAAAAATATCAGCTTTATTAATGATAAAAATGTATTTGGAAGATATGGCTTAGTGGGACAGCCATAGATGGACCCATTAACTGAACCACAAACCATGTAGACTTGTACACTCATAGAAGTGCCAACCCAGTGAGAAGACTGGATAAGTACTTCCTCCTTCAGGGCCCCTAGCTAGATCCAAAGAGAAAGGAAGAAGGGTGAGGCTGAAGCCAATATATATAGTGTATTCTTCCCAGTCAAAAAAGTCATTTTTTAAATGGGTATATTAGTTAGTTGAGGCTGCTGTAACAGATTATTACAAACTTGTTGGCTTAAAACAATGGAAATTTATTTTCTCACATTTCTGTAGACCATAAGTCTAAAATCAAGGTGTCAGCATGGTTGATTCCTTTTGGAGGCTCTAAGGGAGAATCTGTTCCATGCTTCTCTCTTGGATTCTGGTAGCTATAGGCAGTCCTTGGCCTTTCTTGGTCTGGAGATGCGTAACTCCAATTTCTGCCATTGTTTTCACAAGGTTTTTATGTACTGTGTCTCTGTGCTTCTCCTCTTCTAAAGACACTCATCATTTGATTTAGGTCCTACCCTAATCCAAGATATTCTCATTCCTAGATCCTTACCTTAATTACATATAAAGAGACCCTTTTTTTTCAAATGAGGTCACATTTACAGGTTCCAGGTGGACCTGTCTTTTGGAGGGGCTACTGTTCATCCTACTAAAAGGGATGGATTAACTAAATTGGTAAAATTCTGTTTGCTAGGAAACATCAGGAGTTGGGTGCGGGTGTTCCTTGCCAGAAATCCCCTGCTCTCTGTTCTCATGGTCAAACAGATGCAGGAGATCAGCAAAATAATCCTACTCCTACCCTGTGTTTACATCATTGGCATTATCTTTAATATGTTTCTGTGGCAGAATCTTTTAAAGCAACTTGTTCATTTTGTGTGCATTAGTGATTAAAACCAAGTATTGTGATTCATATAGCCATTTAACTATGCACAAGTAAAAGGCAGTTTGTCACAACACATTGAAAACAATCTAGTGAAGGTACTGTGTTTAACACCCATGGGATATAGAATTCCCCAAATTCCACAAAGATGCCTTGTGAGCTATATGTTATATGGACTGAGTGAAGGTACCCATGTTGCTCTGGATATTTATTAGAAAAGTTTAATTTTTTTCAGACTTAAAATTAAGTAGAAAAGAGTGTTTCCCTCCAACACTTCATGTATGCGCTGTCCCTAGAATACATGTCTCATTTTGTAATACATAGGTCTAGATCATCACTGACTGTCTAGTGGACATTTTGCAGTGTTGTAAATAGTCTATTTCTGCAGTCTCCAGATGCAGATCACTTGAAATATGGGCAGTACAACTGAAAAATTGAATTTTTAACTTCATTTAATTTTAAAGTAAATTTAAATTGCCACATGTAACTGGTGACCATATTGGATAACATAGGGTAGATATTTGTCAATGCTTAGGCTAAAAATATTGGAAATACTAAAATAAAGAGCATGGTGAACACTAATAACTAGAACCTGTCTATGATTTAATTGAAACGTCTTTATTTTAATAATGTTAACAAAAGCAAAAGAAAGACTTCATCCTGAGTTAGCAGCTTATCTATACTTGTTAAGGGTTTTAGACTTGTTTCAATTTGGAATTTTTGTTATTATTGAAAATTAGGTGAAACTTTAGTCTCTTTTTTCTAATTATATCATTTTCCTAAATTTATAACAAAATTATTCCTTTGCAGGCAAAATCCTGGTAAATATGGAATAGAAAACTTTTAACTTGGGGATATGCTTGCTTGGGAAATTATCTAAATGTTTGTTAATCATTTCACATTTCTCTTTGCTGAAAACATAATATGCACAGAAAGATTTTACTTAAAAGACTGTTTATAACGAAAAAGAGCCTCCCTCTCTTCCCCAAAGTATACTACTTAAAGACTTGATATTTTATTATGCAGAAATTACCCCTTTATGTTAAACTTATTTTTCAGACATGTGAGCAGATTTTCGTCAATCCCAACTTTGCCATAATCATTTTATTATAGAAAACTTCTAACTTTATAACTAGTTAGTCCATCAATTTTATTTTTGTCTTATTAAAATGTGGCCAGAGAGAGAACATTTCTTCTCCCTATTGCCAATATATGTAATACAGTATTAAAACTTCATATCATTTAAAAAAGGAAATGTGAAAATAAGTGCAACTCACACTTCTTGAACTTTATATAGTTTAAATTTTGTGGTATTGTATTCTTCATTTATACCAGAAGAGGGTGCACTTTTAAACTTTATGTCTTTGAACAGAAAGCATTCTTTTAACTGCTATCGTAAAGTTTATGTCCCTTAGAAATTGCTAAGTTCTTTATTTTCAGAATGTCCTTTAATGTACATGGGGTGAGAAGTAGGATATATGTGAATAATTTAGAGTGCATAAGACTAAAAATATCAATTAATATATCTTTCATCCAGAAGTACAACTTAGTTTTCCTAGGGTTTTCTTTTCTTGTTATTGTCTGAAGATGAGTTCAGAATTATTAAAAAAAAAAATTGTTCTTCAGGAAACTCTTTTTTTTTTTTTTCCTTTTTGTCTTTTTTCGTGACCAGCAATGGATCGCAACCCTCAGTGTCGCGCCCGTACCGGACTGGGACCGGCAACGGGATCGCAACCCTCGGTGTTGCGTCCACACCTCGCTCAGCCAGTGAGCGGCCGGTCTGTATGTGGGATCCGAACCCTCGGCGGGAGCGCCGCCGCACTCCCAAGCAGCGCACTGTAGCAGTGTGCCACCGGGCCGGCCCCAGGAAACTCTTGAAATTTTAGCTTTAATGGCAACCCTCCCACTGAAAACCTATAAAGTAAAAGACCTCTGATGTGTATAATTTCAGTTTTGACCTTATTTAGTTGAAGTTATCATACGGCATGACTATTAAAGAAAAGAGAAACATATAAATGAAACAACAGCCATGACTAGAAAATGATTTTTATTCTTTTATGTTTTGACAGCTTGAAGGTCCATGTGTTTTACAAATTCAAAAAATTCGCAATGTTGCCGCACCAAAGGATAATGAAGAATCTCAGGCTGCACCAAGGATGCTGCGTTTGCAGATGACTGATGGTCATATAAGTTGCACAGCTGTAGAATTTAGTTATATGTCAAAAATAAGGTGATTGTTACTTTATTTTGTTTATTTGTTAAAGAGTGTTTGAAGGTGTTATTAAGACAGATTTAATTTTAAGATCATTGAAAAGAAGGACCGAACTCTTAAATGCATGTTATAATTTTTTAGGAGAAATTACAGAGCTTTGCATTTTGCTTTATCTGTATAGAAAAATAGTTAAGAATGGAATTAGTTACTCCTTGACTCAGTGTTAATTAGAAAAGCATTTATAATTTAAGGTGTTCTTCCATGAAAAGTAATCTTTTTAATTTTGTCAGAAAATTCTTCAGAACAAACAGAATTTTTTTAAATGTGTTATGGTTTCTTCCTTAATAGTTAGCTCAGTGTGTTTAAAATAGTGTGTCCATCACACTATTTAATGTTCTAGGAAAGTTTTATAGGCTAATGAGTTTTCTTGGAAAATGGTTGAAGCCAGGGAGATTCATATGCCATCCTGCTTCCTAAGATGAGGAGGAACTTCCTAAGGAAAATTTTCCAGATTCTTCTTTTGGCTATTTTTAATGAGAGCCTTTTAGAATCATGCCTATTGGAATGCAGAAAAGCAATGAGAAGGAAGGGAAAATGTTTCCTTTATTTTTTGTGTTTGTATTAGGCTGTTTTCTGAGGTAGGTACTTTCATTAGACATTTGTAACATCCCCCCCCCCCTTTTGTTTTCTCCTCTTAGTCATTTTATATGCTTATGTTTGCTGCTCTGGGTCCTTTGGCTATCTTAGAAGAAAGGTGAAAGAACTCTCTAGATAGGATAAACAAGGTGCTGATAAGGGGTATGTTGCCTCAAATGGGCATTGTGTTTCTCTGGGGGGTGGCGGCTTATTCTTCTGTCTTACCTCCTGCTCCACCTGTCACTGGTTTTTGTTTTTTAATTGCAGTGGAGAGAGAGTAAAGGTACTGGGGTGCCAATAAAAATAGCGATTAAATCACAATGTGCTTTCTGAATAAGAGTTAATTATGGTCCTGAACGCAATGTAGTAAAAATTACACTAAAATTTTAGCCCCAGTTTTCCTTTTTTGGGAGTAGAGCCATAATTTAATCTGGTAGGACTCTATCAGTTGTCCTAATGAAATTGTAGGTCCATCCTCAAATAATGTGACTGTTAGGTAGAGTTTGGGACAGGTGCAGTCATTTTACAAAAAATTAGTTTATCATTTGCTTTTGGATTAGCTTTTTAGTTTTAAAATTATGTTATATTTTAAATGCCTTTGTACTTTGCATCCTATTTTTAACGTCTTATGTAGTTTCTTTTTTTTTTTTTTTTTTTTTTTTTTTTTTTTTTTT